CAGCCAAAAATAATCTACCCAGCAAAGCTATCATTCAGAATCGAAGGACAGATAAAGAGCTTCACAAATAAAAAAAAAGCTAAAGGAGTTCATCACCGCCAAACCAGAATTATATGAATTGCTGAAGGGGGTTCTTTTGGAAGAGAAAGAAAATAAAGATAAAAATTATGAACAACAAATACGTAGCTATCAACAAGTGAACCTAAAAACCAAGGAAGTTAAAAAACCTGATGAACAATATTAACTGTTGAATATAATAGAATCAGAGGTATGGAAGGGGAGTGAACTGACGATTCTTGGGGAAATGGGGAGAGGGGGATGTGGGAAGAGACTGAACATAAACTGTGCACCTATGGATGAGGACAATGGGGAGTGGGGAAAGGGCAGAGGGTGGGGTAGGAACCTGGTAGAGGGAGAAAAAATGAGGAACTTTTGTAATAATACGAACAATAAAGGTTTATTAAAATAAATAAATAAATTTAAAAATAAAGAATGGAATAGACTGTGAAAAAAGAAAGAATATTGAAGTCAGATGATATAAAATATAAAATAGAGACTTTGGAAAATTTTGATTTGAAAATGGGTCTTAACTAGTGTTTGGAACTGCTTGTCTCTGATGAAAAAGCCAGTCTATGACACCATTCTTTGTTGGTCTTGACATGAACAATGAGACACTTTTCATTCTTTTAAGCATCTTATATCCCTCTCTAATGTCTATCACTTACCATGTTTTCCTTGGTTTCCAACAGAATGCATGTTTATATTGGAACGTTTGGAAATTACAGATAAACTAAGAGACAGAATAAAATCCAAATCTAGTCATCCAAAAATACTAGTATTAGCATTTAAACACATGCTTTATGCTGACAGCAGTCAGCACAGGTAGACAGCCAGTGATGTTTGTTGAATGAATGACTACTTGAGTAACTTATAGCCTCCTAGGATTTTGTAGCTGGAAAAGACCATATAGGTGTGGAAACTGAGGCCTATACTATTGATGAAATGAAGCTATTAAGAGAAATAACAACTGGGAGAAGCCAGGAAAAGATAAGTCTATAAGGAATGAAGTGAATGTCATGCAGAGAAGGGATTCAGCTCATTCTGCCTTGTTCTGGAGAGGGCAAAGCCAAGACTAAGCAACACTGAGAGTTGTTGTAGGTCAATTTCAATTTCAGCATAATACAGGGAAGGGCTTTTTTCTTTTAATATATTTTTATTAATTTCAGAGAGGAGAGAGAGAGAGAGAGAGAGAGAGAGAGAGAGAGAGAGAGAGAGAGGAACATCACTATCAATGATGAGAGAGAATCATCGATTGGCTGCCTCTTATATGCCCCACACGGATTGAGCCCACAATCTGGGCATGTGCCCTGACTGGGAATTGAACCGTGACTTCTGGTTCATAGATCAATATTCAATCACTGAGCCATGCTGGTCAGACCAGGGAAGAGCTTTTTAATTGGTAGGATTGTCCAAAACCAAAATAGGTTTTCTCAAAAAGAAGTGAGGTGTTCCTAATTAGAAGTGTTCAAAAAGAAACAGGTTATGTTTGAATGAACAATTTGTCAAGTATGCTTGAGTAGGAAAAAATGAATTTGTGTGCCTGGTTGGAATAAATAACTTCTAAGGTCTTTACCAAAACTAAGATGAAATGATTTTGTGAGTACATATCTCTATATCAATATATATCTATTTCTATATGTCACATACATAGATAGATGGATAATTTTTGTCTTATTAATATGTTACTTTGAAATTAAGCCTTTTAAGTGTGAACCCAGTGACTTTCTCATTCTAAATGGGATCTTATCAATTCTGTCTTTGCTGACCCAAATTTTATGGTTTTAAATACTACTTCAATGTGCTACACACAGCAGGAGTTCAAAAGATAAATTTAAATGAGCTCTTAAGTCTGAAGAAAAAATCTACATTTAAAATAAATTGAACTATAGGCTCCATGCAGTAAGACAATGTGGTCTAGGCTAATCTCAATCAAATGTATCAGTTGCTCACTCAAGAGATTTAAAATGCATTAATTTTTTAAAGTAAAAAGGCTAAAATTAAAAAAAAGAAATTTGGATAAATTGTATTGTGATCAGATAAAAAGTGTTCTCTTATTGGGTTTCTGAATGAAGATATGAAATTATGACTGGGATTATTTTCTAGAATGTAAAGAATCCTTTCACTATTAAATTAGAAATATGATTTAACTGCACTTCAAGTATTGAGTTACTGAAAGACTGTTCATAGTACAATAATTTCATCCAAATTCTAGTTGCAATACAGCCACATAACTGAACAGGAATACTTTCAGTTTTCAAGACTTCATATCAGTAACAGAAATGGAGATCCTCACAAGTTTCTGCTTTGGTTTGGTGTAGAGATTCACCCTCAAATAGCAATCTAGCACAGCTCTGATGAATATCACATATGGTATCTGTGGTGCACTCTTTGTGATTCTGACCAGAAAAAAAAATGGATAACAAACAGCAAAGATTGTTCTTTTTGGCTTCCCTCCCTCCTTTTCTTCTTCCTTTTTCTCCCTCCTTTCTGTCTTTCTTTCTCATTAGAAGGCTAAATAAGAAAATTCATGTTTGAATTAAGTATCTCATTGTATTTACAGTATCAACATTGTCATTGTTTGGCATACTATTTAAAAAATTTTGTTTACCTTTCATTTACAGTTGACATTCAATATTATATTAGTTTCAGTTGTACAACATAGTGGTTAGACATTTATATTAGTACTAGTGGCCAGTGCATGAAATTCGTGCAGGGTGGGGGGATTGCATCCTATGGGATTGGGCCTAAACTGGCAGTCAGACATCCCTCTCACAATCTGGGACCATTGGATCCTAACCGCTCACCTGATGCCTGACTGCCCCTAACTGCCTCTGCCTGCCTGCCTGATCACCCCCAATTGCCCTCCCCTACTGTCCTGATCTCACCTCCAACTGCTTTCCCAACTGGTTATGCCAGCCTGATCTCACCACCAATGGTCCTCCCCTGTTGGCCTGATCTCACCCCCAATGGCCTTCCTCTGCCAGCCTGATTTCTCCCCCAACTGCCCTCCCCTGCCAACCTGGTTGCCCCCAACTGGCTCCTAATGGCTCACCAACTACCTCTGCCTGCCTGATCACCCCCAACAGTCCTCCCCGGCTGGCCAGATCTTGCCCCCAACAGTCCTCCTCTGCCAGCCAATTTGGTTCTGATTGGTCAGTTTCTGTGCCAGTTAGCATCAAAAGCTCTGCCTCCTAAACAGCCATTGGCTCCTCACACTTTACTCAGATTTGGTTCTGATTAGTTGGTTTCTATGCCAGTCAGTGTTTCTAGGCCTATCAATGGGGCCTGATCAGAAAAGCGGGGCTGATCAGCAGTCCCGGTGGAGGCCTGGAGAGAAATGGAGATGTGGTTGCGGGCCTGGTCTGGAGATAAAGAGAGAGGCAAGTGCTGATCAACAGCTGCCACGCAGGCTACAGATCAGACCCTGCTTCTCTTTTCAGGCCTCTGTGCAGGACTGACTTCCGGTTGGTAGAGCCTCTGGTCATGATGGACCCAGGGTTGTTTTTTAAAAAAATATATTTTATTGATTTTTGTACAGAGAGGAAGGGAGAGAGATAGAGAGTTAGAAACATCGATGAGAGAGAGTCATCGATCAGCTGCCTCTTGCACATCCCCCACTGAGGATGTGCCCGCAACCTAGGCACATGCCCCTGACCAGAATCGAACCCAGGGCCCCTCAGTCCCCAAGCCGACACTCTATCCACTGAGCCAAACCGGTTTCGGCCAGGGTTTTTATATATTAGGATAATTTGCAAAGTTATCCCCCCATATCTCTAGTATCCACCTGACATCATACATAGTTATTACAATACTAGAGGCCCAGCACATGATTAAATTGTGTGTGTGTAGGGTCCCCTAGGCCTAACCTACCATCAGGGCCATGTCCACCACCATGCAAACTTTGCACATTCCGTGGATGCTGCTAGAAGCCTGTGTTGCTCCTCAGATGCTGCCAGCACCTCACGACATTCGAGAAGTCCCACCCGCTATGGCTGCCTTGGGATCCATCAGTGCATCTCCTGGTGAATCTGGTAGTTGGTTGTGAGGATGTGATGGCATTACAACCACAGGGCTTTTATGATATAGATTATTGACTATATTTTCTATGCTGTACTTTATAACTCGTGACTATTATGTAACTAGCAATATGTACTTCTTAATCTTTTTATCTTTCTACTTATCCCTCCCACCTGGCAACCATCGGTTTGTTATCTGTATCTTTAAATTTTTTTCTATTTATTTGTGAACTTTGTTTTTTAGATTTGAAAAGATATATGCATTCCTATGTTCATTGCAGCATTATATGCAATAGCCACGATATGGAAGCAACCTAAGTGTCCATCAATAGATGACTGGATAAAGAAGATGTGGTATGTATATGCAATGGAATATTACTTGGCCATAAAAAAGAATGAAATCTTACCGTTTGTTTTGCATACACTTAACAGTAAAAAATTATGGCTTTAGGCAAGATAGGCCTTCCATTGACTGGAAAATCTCAGCCATACCTTTTCAGTCAAGGAAATGTACAATATTTCTGGGGCAGTGATACCTTCTGTGTTTCAGACATTGTATAGATGCTGGAGAGATGAAAATGCCAGGCATGAATCTTGGTCTCACAGAGAGAGGCATAAAAAAAAGCATAGTATAGATTCATCATAGAACCATAGAAGCCAGATGAGGCTCAGCGTTCTTTCTGACTAAGGACTTTAGACAGTCATTGCTAATCTATCACAGAATTAGCATAAGAGGTGACATCTATTAGCCTCTCCTGGTGGGAAGTCAAAAGTTCTCTGGTAACAGGTTTCATGCTGATAATAATAATCATGCTTATTTCATGTCTATAAAGTAAGACCCATTTCCTGCATACCCGGCTGAATTTTAAATTTTTGAATTCCACTCTCAGAAACATGAAATAATAGCAATTTTATAAAAGTTACCTCCACTGCTGCTTTTGCCCTTTCAAATTCCTCTTCTAAGGAGTGATTTCTGGAGAGTAATGTACTTCCCCAGCGCTGTTCTTTGGTCAGTCGAGCCTGAAATGAACCAAACACATGGTGTTATAATATTGGAATCACATAGCACAAAAGTACAAATGTTTTTCCTTTTTTCATATTCCCCTAGAGATGAGGCAGCACCTGCAACAGATTTTGGAGTACTTTGCAAGCATGATGTTGCCCAAACTGGAATGGTGCCAAAATGTGTGTGAGCAAGCAAGCATGATTCTTTAAAAAAATATATATATATACTTGTATATATTTTTTATTGATTTCAGAGAGGAAGGGAGAGGGAGAGAGAGAGATAGAAACATTAATGATGAGTGAGAATCATTGATTGGCTGCCTCCTGCATGCCCCACGCTTGGGATCAAGCCCTCAATCCAGGCATTTGTCCTGACCAGGAATAAAACCTGACCCTCTGATTCACATAGGTCGATGCTAAACCATTGAGCCAAGCTGGCTAGGCATTGGTCTGGGGTGGAACCCAGGCCTGTTCAAGCAATTCCCATAGAAGCTGGGGTTGAGCATTCCTACAAGATAGCAATCTAACACATGGCCAAGGAGCCTCCCCTGCCCAGATAAAGGGGGGCAGGATACTTCGTCCCACAAGCTTGTCTCCTCTTATTCCCCAGGGCCTAGCTGCCTTATCAGTGCAATCCCTCGAACTGGGTTTTAGGCTTGGTCATACAAACAAAATCCTGGTCCAACCTCCTGAAGTCTAACTTTAATTGGTTTTGGTGCCAGGCATTAATCTTTTTGTAAAGTCTCCCATATGATTCTTACATGTAGCTAGAACAGAGAGTCTCCATTGGAAGACTAGACTAGCTGATACTCAAGCTTCCAGCTGGTTAGAAGGACCAGCGTTGTGGAAGCTGCAGAGATGAAAGCTGGCAGCTGGGTCTTTCTCTTTAAATATGCAGCAGGTCCTCATTCTGGATTCTTTTTCTATTGCCTTTCCTCGGTTGGCACATCTGTCTAATGTCCCATTTCCTTAGGACATTGCTCTCTGTTAAATAATAGTCACTTAGATAAAATCATGTCTGATAGTGCCAACTGCTTTGTCACAATTAACAGGCAAGTGCTACACAGCTTAGTTAAATGCAAATATTTCCAGAAGACCCTCAAAGAGTCTGCTGGAATTTTTAAAAATGGGACTAATTTTAAATTTGACCATTGATACTTTCTTTTTGAAAAAGAAATTAATTATGAAAATAAGAGGTACACCTCTAGACTTTTCTCTGCAGTTTCATATATATTTATGCACTGATAGAACATCATAATGTGTTTCAAAAATTTGAAACATGATACACTATTCTGTAACTTACTTTTTTCTACTTGACAATATATCTTGGAGAGTCTCTACAATTTGTATGTGTCAATCTACCTTCCTCTTCACAGGGATTTCCTTGTATAGTAAGTCCCATGTACTGTAGTTTGTTCAGAACTTTCTCCAGGAGTAATCAGGGTGTTTCCAAAATTTTTCCATTTAATTATTTGTTTTCTTGTCTATCTTGTAACTCTACTGTAGGATCCATGCAGGTAAGAGTTTGTCTGGGAACTTTTAAACTGCTCCATACCAAGCCCAGGGCATGACAAGTGATTTGTGCACCAATGATGCCTGTGGATGGATGGATGGATGGATGGATGGATGGATGGATGGATGGATGGTAGGGAGAGGGATTGCATGATAAGGCAGCTAAGCCCTGGGGAATAAGAGGAGACAAGCTTGTGGGATGAAGTATCCCGCCCCCCTTTTACCTGGGCAGGGGAGGCTCCTTGGCCATGTGTTAGGTTGCTGTCTTGAGGGAATTACTTGAACAGGCCTGGGTTCCACCCCAGACCAATGAAATAGGAACTTTGTGGCAGGGCCTAGGCATTCCATGTTGGAAAAACTCCTCAGGTGATTTTGAAAAGCAGTCATGTTTGAAAACCACTGTTCTACAGCAAAACTGGTCTTCACTCAGCGTTTTCCACCTAACTTGGCAAATTCGTTTTGGCACTCCTTTCCCAACTGGTTATGTAAGACTCTGTCCCTTAATCCTTTGCTTTAGAAACAACTCTCTTGTCTTCCTGCCAGTTCCCTTATCAATGAAATAAACGAGTGAATTTTAAACTGTGGACACATAGTCAAACATGAACTTTGTGCATTTTTATATTGATGCCATGAATGAGCCATCAATAATCATTAGGAGAAGAAAAAGAAAGCACCAATATTTTTGTCCCAAGCCACCTCCTTTCATTAGAGGCACTTTCCTCTGATGAAACACGATCCGTCTGTCCTGTGAAGCTGACCTATCATGGCTCCATTACTGTCACTGGCTTCCCTTCATCGATGTTTCGTGACGCAAGTGGATTCTGAATCACAGGTGCCAAGGGAGCCACACATCAGGGAGAAGAGAAGCATCTCTCTCAGGAGCCTGGACTTATACTTCATAGTTTCATTACCACTTAAAACAGCAAACAGAAATAGGTTCTTACTGAGCAAACCAAATGTTGTTTGATAGCGCAATGGCTATTTAGGCAAGAGCTGCTTTCCACATTGTTAGGAAGGCTTTGGAATATTACTAAACAAATGTTATTTACTTCACCTGGGAAAGCCATCTATTTTGGCCAGAGAAGCATGAGATAAACATTGTAAACTACAGGTAAATACTGGCTGTAAACAGAGGCAGTGTTCAAGCTGAGATTAGTATGCAACTAAAGATTATAGGCAAACCTGTGATGTGGGAAAGCATATGTAACTAATGCTTGTAAATCGCTTAGTATTTACCCAGAGGAATGATAAACAAGACTATTACACCAAAAGCTTCAGTTGCAGCTGTTTAGGTAGAGGAGTAGTTCCCAAGCTTTAGTGGGCATTAGGATCACCTAAAAGTCTGGTTCAATGCAGGTGGCTAGGCCCCACCCCGATGGTTTTTGATTCAGTAGGTGTGAGCTGGGGGGGGGGGGAGGTCTGGAAGCCCACCCCTAGGGTTTCTGATTTAGTAGGTGGGGGATGTCACAGAATCTGCATTTCTAACAAGGTCCCAGGTGGTGATGCTGGCAGGCTGGTGCAGGGACCACACCATGAGAACGTCTGGTCTAATCACTGACATGATGTGCATGTAGGTGGAGCTCTGGAGTTTACAAATGCACTTTGACATAGACATTTCCTTTTTTCTTCGCATGATTTTGAACAATACTCCACAGTTACAGCAACCTCCTGGAGGTTTGCTGGCTCTAAAAACAGAATTTTAATTGCTTTAAGTTAATTGGATTTTAGGGCATTACACTCTCTAAAGAAGAAGGCATTTAGTACCTTTAGCTGTTGGTTGTTCTGAATTATAAGCACCAGGTGAAGGGAAAGAAGAAAGAAATTAATCTCTTTAAAGAGAATATTATGTTTTATTTTCATTATTAAAAATTATAATTGTGGCCGAAATCTCTGGAGTGAGATTGCCTGAGGCCAAATCCATTTATTATGAATTGGTGACCTTGGACCAATTAATTTCTAGAATACTCAGTATTCTCATCTGCAAAGTGTATATTCAATTATAGAATCCATATAAGAATTAGTACAGCCCTGGCCGGTTTGACTCAGTGGATAGATTGTAGGCCTGCAGACTAAAAGGTCCCGAGTTTGATTCTCTTCAAGGGCACATACCTGGTTGCAGGCTTGGTCTCCAGTAAGGGGCATTCAGGAGGCAGCTGATCAATGATTCTCTCTCATCATTGATGTTTCTGTCTCTCTCTCCCTCTACCTCTACCTTCCTCTCTGAAATCAATGAAAAATATTTTTAAAAATTAGTACAATAATTCATGTACATATGCACACAAAAGGATCAGTACCTAGTAAGTACTCAACAAAACATGGGTTTTGTTATCATCTTTCTTGTTAGCATTTATCAGGTATGACTTTAGAAATACATTAAAAAAATATCTATCTGTGCCTAGAGTGCTTTTGTCCAGTGGTTAACGAAAACTACTTGGATTTTTACTGTAGATCAAATCATTTAAACACTTGCTTCATTGAGATGCTCAGATTGTTTTTTTCTGAATCAGTCAGCAGACATTTACCATCAAAGGCACACAAAAAAGCTTTACCTCAAGTGTAAAGAGCACATTCTCAGAGCTTTGTGCAAAGAGGGAGCATATGGTTCCTTTCTCCCTCCAACTATGAAATTCTATGTTGTAGAACATCAAGGCAAATCAGTACTGACTTCAAAAAGAAACGGACAGTCTATTACCATGAATAACTGAACAGTATTTTTGAAACTAGCTTCAAAATGATCAAGCATTAAATTTTGTCTTTTTATTTTCTCTACCTTTTAACCCTTAGCCACAACTTATAAATTATTAAATTTGAATGCTAGCTTTTTGCTAGCATTCTCTTATTTTTTTACTTCAACAACTATTTCTTTTTTTTTATTTTTTATTTTTTTAAAATATATTTTATTGATTTTGTACAGAGAGGAAGGGAGAGAGATAGAGAGTTAGAAACATCGATGAGAGAGAGTCATCGATCAGTTGCCTCTTGCGCACCCCCTACTGGGGATATGCCCGCAACCAAGGTACATGCCCTTGACCGTAATCGAACCCGGGACCCTTCAGTCCCCAAGCCGACGCTCTATCCATTGAGCCAAACTGGTCTCGGCTCAACAACTATTTCTTGAATACCTACTGTGTACATACAGATTTCCTACTGGGATGAAAATGATTTTTCAGCTTTCTTTCCTTCCTTTTGCCTTCCTTTTATTTATTTTCCCTCCATCTTTGCTCACTTCCTTCCCCATTGGTGGTAGTGCACTGTGTATGTCCAGGAGGGAACAGGAAATGTGGATGTGGCTCCTGTACTGTCTTCCAACAAGCAAAGCTACATTTTTAGTATACTACCTAACTCTTTCTATTAGACATAACGGTCTTGACACTTCTTGTAGTCAAAACCCTCTTTCTAACTTTTTCACTGCCTTGCTGACACTTTATAGATAGTAGACATTCAGTCACATTGGTTGTACGGAATAAAATGGAAGCCATCAAGAGTAAGAGTTTGAGAATGAATTTGGTAGGGGGCGGCACAAACTTGTGTTCAGTTTCAGATCAGATGACAATCTTAACTTATCTTAAAATGCTTCTGGAAGAAAGTGATAAATATTCTTTAAAAATCACATAACTCGTATTAGCCCTATAAATGTAGTAACCAGGCTTGCAATGAGAATGGAAATGGATGGTTTGGGAGTTCTCTCGGGTGGCTAAGCCTCATGCGGCTCACTCGAGGTTGCGTGTGGTTAAGAACAAGGGCTTTAGAAGCAGATGTGTGTGAACTGAGTGCTGGATCCTCTCCTCCTTGGCTGTATCACCTGGGGAAAATGAGTCTGCTCTCGAAGAGGCATCACTCATCTGAAAATGGGGATATTAATTTCCAATGTTATTTTAACATTTCAAAGAGTAGATTCAAAATATTTCACATTCCACACAGGATGTGTAGAATATGACAGCTGTTAAATGCACTTCCTTTTGCATCACTCCTTTAAAAATGCAGACAACATATCTGCATTTACATCTCCAAGTTTGTATTGTTCTGCTTTGGGACACTACCAACTAGGTGGAATTGTAACTCTGTAGAAGGAATCATTTGCTGTGCCAGAGTCAGTGAAATCAGATTGTTACACGATTGTGACTAAGTATAGAGAGCCTGGCGGCCACACAGTCTCCTGAAGTCCAGCTTCAGTGGGCAGGAGCCTGTCCCGAGCTCTCCAGTGTCCAGGAGAAGAAACGCTTGAGCCACTATTTAACAGCAGAAGTTGGATTTTTTTTTTTTTTTTTTTTTTTTTTTTTTTTTTTTTTACTTTTGCCTCATCACTACCTCAACCCATTTATGGAAAAAGCTAATTTTATACCATTACGTTCTAGGTTTTTCTTTAATTCTTCCAATGCTTTCTAATTCTTTAGATCACATGATTTCTTTAAACGTGTAACTCCAGGGAATACTAATTACACAGTTTAAGTGTCAAAAACTATTCTTAAATATATAGAGATTACATAATTCATTATAATCTCTTGTCACTCTGATTAGTGTATTCAAAACACTATTTTGAGGATACTGGACCATGTCTTTCCTTCTCTCCATCTTGATAAGAATAAAATGAGCCAACATAAGAATTCTTCTCTTTGTGAGCTTCCATTTTTTAATTCTGAAATATGATTTTTTAAAACGTGGCTTGCAAATAGCTGCTTACCTCTTGAGCTTGCGACACTGAATGCTGGCCTGAGAGAGAAGAAAGGATTCCCTGGATTTTCCTGGAACCATCTGAGTGGACGGTGAAAGTTTTGCTGAGCTGAAACTATTTATCTGACTAGCTTACAAGTCAGTTTTAAGTTGAGTTTTTATACTACCTTCATCATTTTATCTACATAAAGAGATCATACATTTAGAACAGTATGCTCCTGACAGCAAATCATCTTTTTGTCTTCTATTCAAAGTAGATTAATCAGTCTATCCTTTCGCTGCTCCATTTGAACGACTTAGCACTTCAGATGAATATATCCTAGCTCATGACATTTTCCTAGTTTAACCACAGGATGGAATTAAAATGAAAAGAATGTGAATTTCTTTAGGGAATCTTGATAAATATATATATATTTAAATATAAATGAAGGGATCCATTCTTTACAAATAATTGTTAACCCTCTAAAGCATTTGCTATGATTCATCTAGACAGAACTATCCCAGTTGCATTTTACATTGTTCTGGAGGACAATATCAGAAAGCTCAGACATGTTTTCCAAAGAACATTGTGGGTTTAAAAAATCCTATATAATAGAAGCCTAATATGCAAATCGACTGAATGGCAGAAGGACTGGTCACTATGATACCCACTGACCATTAGGGACAGACACTCAACTCAGGAGCTGCCCCTTGGTGGTCAGTACACTTTCACAAGTGAGGGGGGGGGATTGCTATTCATCAGAAGCTGGGCTCACAGCTGGTGAGCGCTATGGCAGTGGCAGGAGCCTCTCCCACCTCTGAGGAATCACTAAGGAGCAGAGAACTAAGTGGTAAGGAGCAATGAGCAGGAAGGCCGTGAGGAGCAAAGGATCCCAGACTGTGAAGTGGATATCCCCTAAGTGGTCCCAGACTGTGATGTGAGAGGGTGCAGGCCAGGCTGAGGGATCCTGCACCCTCCCCCCTGCCCTGAGTGCACAAATTTTGTGCACCAGGCCTCTAATATTTATATATTTATTGATTTCAGAGAAGAACAGAGAAGAGAGAGAGAGATAGAAACATCAATGATGAGAAAGAATTATTAACTGGCTGCCTCCTGCTCACCCTCACTGGGGATTGATCTTGCAACCTGGGCACGTGCTCTGGACCGAAATTGAACCCAGTACCCTTCATTCTGCAGGCCAACACTCTATCCACAGAGTCAAACCAGCGAGGGCAGACATTGTGTTTGCTTGAAGGCACATGGGCAGGTCCGTGGTAGGATACATGCATAGTGAGCTCCATGGGCAACCAGGACCCCAGTGATCTCCTGCCCATCTCACCCTGTGGAGCAGCCCACCTGTGCCAAGCCTCCTCCTGATGCTGAAACAAACGTTCTAATGCCAATTCACTGTTCCAAGGATTCCAGTTCTTGAAACGGTACCAATTACTTTAGTCAGGTCTAAATTTCCAAGGCATTTATCAAGAAACGTTTCTCTAATAAATGCTCTCAATTTGCTTCTTCAAAAGACATATTTAGAATGAACAAGAGGAAGAAAATACATTTTTCATGCTACACCTATGACTCATTAAGCTTCTCAGGGGTGTTTGCTCCAGAGGGTAGTTGACTTGTTTCCCAGAAGAGTTCTGGGGAAGTAATGTCCACCTACCTTTTATGGAGGGTGAGGTGTCTGTAGGGGGTGCTATTAGTGGCCTGGGAAGGGTGCCAGGGGCCTTCCATTTTGTCTCTCTCCCTGTCCTCCTTCACTCTGTCACTTACTAATTGTGGGTGCAAAGACACTTTTCTTAATCTCACTGTGCATTAGTTTCCCCACCTAAAAATAAAACTAATATATTAACTCATACAGCCATTTTTTTTTCTGGATCAAATGAGCTAATATATACTTAGCATACATTCAATATTATTTTCTATGATCATAATTATCCCTTTATTTCACCTCAGACACTATATTTATCCTTTTAGTTTCAATATCTTATCTAATAAACTCAAGAAAAAATTTCTGGCTTATTTCATGCTACCCATTTTATTTTCCACTAAATTGCAGAGTAGACAGATTTCTTAAAAAATCTTTGTGATTTTTAGACCCCTGCTGTACCCTTGTAAAGTGTTGGAATGAATGAAAAGATTGTAGGTGGCAACTAGTTAAAGACAAGCCAGTTACACTGTAGTTGAGACGGGCAGGTCCTATCCCCATCCACTCCCACCAATGATTATTTTGAAAAGAATTTTTACTTCACGGATACTCTTTGAAGGATCTTTAAAGTGAGGCCAATGATACTTCACAGGATTATTTCAATATTAGAGGTAACACGTGAAAAGTACATAGTAAAGCCCACTGATGGTAGCTTTTATTATGACTAGTACTGCTACTCCTCTAATTATTTATTCCTTCCCTGAAATGCATTTGAACGTGGCAATCAGGATCCTGATGTGCAAGTACCTTGTTCCACAGGCAGAGATGGAAATGAACATGCAAGCTGTAGTAATTTCCTCTTCTTTGTACTCTGCTACATCAATAGTGATAATAAGGTACTTGTGATAATAATAGTGATAATAATGGAATAGTACAGAGTTTATACTGCAAAGTCACGGGACAGTAAATGGTAGAAAAAGAAGGAAGTGCTAAGTACACAGTTAATGACTGACATCATGAACACATTTGTCAGTCAACTATATATACATTGAGTGGCCAGATTATTATGATCTCTGAATGCATAGTAATCTGGCCATTCTGTGTATAATATCCTATATAATAAAAGGCTAATATGCAAATTGCCCCCTCAACAAGGAGTTCGACCAGCAGACAGGCCGGCCAACTACCCATGTTCCCTGCCCCTTGCCAGGCTGGCTGGAACCCACCCATGCACGAATTCATACACTGGGCCTCTAATACACACACACACACACACACACACACACACACACACACACACACTGAGTGGCCAGGTTATTATATGTTCAGAGATCATAATAATCTGGCCACATTCAGTGTATATATTTTAAGGACTGAGACAGATAACTGAGTAAGAAAGCACATGCAAAAAAGGTACAGAAAACATACTTAGAACTTCTTGTGAACATTTAAATAAACTATTTAAGATAGAAATGGTCTATGAGAGAAGAGAGGTTCCTTGAAGAGCTGCTCAGTTACCTGTGTTGGAGGCACTAATTCCAGCTCTGCACCTGACTCAGCGGCGGCATTCAGGGCGCTTTTCCCAGCACTGAGTTCAGGCTGGGATCTGTGCTCGGAGGACCTGAGGGGGAACGAAGGAAACCGATAAACACTGAGAGGCAGTTAGCTGGAGAGCCAGCCAAGAAACCTAGAGAACTTTGATCATCGAGAGCCACAGGAACGAAACTCTCACCAGAATTTTGATGAAAAATATAACTTTTGTGTGTTTTTATTTTAATAACCATCTTTGGAATTAAAAAAGTTTATGGTTGAAAGTATTACAGACGTCCCCCTTTTGACCCTATTGACTTCCTCACCCCCTCCCCACCCCAGGCCTACTGATTTGTGTGTCCATATATGCATTTAAGTTCTTTGGCATTTAAGTGGCTGTGATGTGCTAGGTGTTATTATCTCTGATTTAGAATTCAGTTCAAGTATGGCCAAAAAATAAATACATGTAATCTTGTTTTTGTTACAAAAAGTTCTGTTTTATTAAAAAGTATTGTTTTGGGGGTAGATTTTCTCACAAACTATCTCAGCTGTGACTTAATCTTTATAAGAACATGAAATGTCATAATAAGTAGAGATGTGTGAGGGGCAATAGATTAAAACATGTTGCCCTTTAGAAAGCTTTAAAAATATGGTAAAATTTAGGTAGCCAATTTTCTCATGGCCTCCATGGATTACTCTTAAATAGTATATTATCTGACAGGGATGATTAAGAAAGTCAGAAAAGGTTGCCTGTGTAACCAGAAACATTTACTTTAACTATCATTCATCTAATGTATTGACTACACATGAATGTAAACACACAAAATAGGTATGAACTTATTTTGATAATCTCAATTACATATTTAGAAAACACACATTGATATTATGAGCCTACCAGAATCCTTATTGGCTGATTTATTTTTAGCTAATTTAGACGGAATAATTCAGTTTTAGAAGGCACAGTAATTAATATCCTATATGATAAAAGCCTAATATGCAAATTGATTGAACAGCGGAACAACCCCTGGGATGACTGGTTAATATGACATGCTCTGACCACCAGGGGGCAGACGCTCAATGCAGGAGTTGCTCCCAGGCTGCAGGCCCCAGGTTAGCCAAGGTGCATGTCAGCAGGTGGGCTCCTAGATTGCCCTGCCTGCCACCCCACAGATTGGCCCTGATCGTCGGTCAGGCCTAGGAACCCTACCCATGCATGACTTTCGTGCACTGGGCCTTTAGTTGATATATAAGGGGTTATATATGGCACCAAGTATTTGGATTGACTTAACTCATTAGCTATTTCAGCACATGAGAGGAAAATACCATACAGTGAACACTTGTCTATTTCCTGATACTGAAATACCTTACCATAAGAGTTCTTTCGATCCAGTTCTAGAGGAGCATGATTTTCTCTCTGCCATTGGATGACCCTTGCTACTGCGATCGCCATGAAACTTAACATCGTCCCATTTTTCCAGTTGTGTTTGAATGTCTATTAAGGAGACAGAGAGGGGATGAGAGGGATAGGAGGAGAATATGAGGTGTAGAGAGAAGAGAGACTGATTAAGGTTGAGAAGTGTTATGACAAGTGAACTTCACTCCACTGATGTTTTCAAACCCCAAGACCAATTCTTTAAGGTCACATGAAAATTAAAACATGTGCAGCTAAATAAAAATGAGACCAATTAAGGAAATTCGATTGCTTTTACAGTTAAACAGTCAAGTTGTTTTACCTGAATTGTTTCAAGAGCTACATGCCTCCTGCATTCTGTGCGTGAGCCCATGGAACCCCATGGGAATGAGCACGTGGAGTGCTGGGTCCTGTTGGCCTCTGGCTCAGACTATGGCTTTGAGGCATGCCTGGCATGTTTCTGGAAAGAAATTCTGTCTAAAGAGCCTTCTGTAAAAAGGAGGCGACAAGAAACTAAAACACCTTCCACAGCTTTTGTACAGACTGTGCAATTTCTTGCCAAAGAAAGAAATTAATGATGGAGGTGGAGAAAAAGGAGAAAGCCAAGAGAATGCCAGACCATTTTCTCGCTGTGGCTTCATTCTTCCATCTGACCTAGTGTGTCCTTCTCTCTCATTAACAAGTGTGTGACTGTAAATAAACCACTTAAACCATCGTGGGTCCATTTTTTCCCATTAAGAATTTGGTTTGCTTTCAGTGTCCTCCAAAGTTCTTGAAATGAAACATTTTTATGATTTCTTACACAGGGCATTTTCTCAAAAGCAGAGAGAGATTTAAGTTTTCTTTACATGTATAATCATTTGCATATTACACAATAAAGAAGTAATATGCAAATGATCATTACACCATGAAGCATAATGACCTTCTGCGTATTGACCAGATCATGGATCAGCAAAGGGGTGGGGTAGCGAGCTACAAGCAGGCAGCAGAGAGCTACAGGAGGGGGCAGGGCAGCAAGCTAGGAGGGAGAGGTAGGGGGTGGAGCAAGCTACAGGAGGATGGGGCAGGAGTGGAGAGCTGCAGGAGGGTGGCAGCGAGCTACTGGCTATAAGCAGGCAGCAGAAAGCTACAGGAGAGGGCAGGCCAGCAAGCTATGAGGGGGAAGTCAGGGGGAGGGTAGTGGGGGAACTACAGGAGTGGGGGGAAGTGGGTGGAGAACTATGGAGGGTGTCAGCGAGCTAATGGTGAGCTACTGGCACATGGATTTGTGCTACTAGTTGTGTTATATTATGCCTAGTGCATGAATTCATGCATGGGTGGGGTTCCTCAGCCTGGCTGGCAATCAGGGGCAATTGAGGCCAATTGGGGCCAGCTGGCTAGGGGAGAGGGACTGCAAGAAGTTGGCTGGTTGTGGGAGGTTGGCTGTGGGAGTACACTGACCACTAGGGGGACAGTTCCTACATCAAGCATCTGCCTCTGGTAGTCGGTGCATGTCAAAGTGAGTGGTCATAACAGTTACTTAGGCTTTTATATATATAGATGTTTGCTATGATCTTTGGGTAAGGCCATCTATACCCATGAATGTGATACCCATTCACAGGCTTCAGACTTTCAAATCTACATTTCCTGCTCAGCGCCCTCTCCCAAGTTATAGATCTATACATTTAACAGTTGATTGGACATCTCCACAGAGAAATCCCAGTTTCCCCAAATACATGGTAGGGCAAATGTCGGCTCACAATTTTAAGTACACAAAACACAGTTTATTCTTGTGTTATTATTTGTTGATTATTGCATTATTTTCGATATGAACAACTGTAAACCTACTTTTGCCCCATCCTGTAAAATAGGTTCAAAACAACTCCAGAACTTCCACCTTGACTTCCTGCCTCCCCCTGTCCCTCTCGTATCCTCATCACAGAGGTCGGCACATTCTGTATGTCTTCCTTGTTGGCATGCACATGTCTTCTTGGTTCACAAGTCCTCCTACTTCCACTTCTTTCTCTACACATCCTCCAGAAAAAAAACAAGGACACTCCTTGGTCTATCTGAATTGCTAACATCACCATGCTTCTGCTTTGGGGCCATTGTTAAGTAAATAGAGGTCCTTGGAGACAGGTGCTGCACTATGAAGACAGTCAATCTGATACCTGAGACAGCTGCTGAAGGACTCAGGGGCAGGGAGCAGCTATGGTGCGCAGAGGCTGGACAAAGGCATGATTCACATCCTCGGTGGGATGGAGCCAGGGCCCTGGAGACTTCATTATGCTTGCCAGAATGGAATGCTATTTAAAACGTAGTAATTGCTGATTTCTGGAATTTTCCATTTAACATTTTTGGACTGTGATAACTGACACTTCAGAAAAGCAAAACTGCAAATTCGGGGGACTCTACTGTAGTGCATATTTTATTATAGTCAATTAATCATTTTTCTATCTCCCCTCGAAAGCGTGAACTTGTTAAGTGATAATGTAAGTTTAACAAAGGCAGAGAGCTCATATTATTTATCTTTGTATAACTAGCCCATAGTATGGAACTTGGTGGGCATTCAGAGAAAAGATTACTGAACAAATGAATAAATTAATTCATGACCATCTAACATGTACACGTCGCAGTGCTTGGCAACTCCACATATCTATCCCCTTTAATCTTCACAACCTATGGATAGGTTACTAACATGCTATTTACCCACACACATAGGTATACACATACACACCAGTCAGTCTCAGCTGGAGAGATACATGCTCCCTTCGGCTTTCTAAAATGCCTGCCACCTTCATTCTCCTGAGAAAGGAGAGTTTAATTTGACTTGTTCCATGAGCTGAGGTTAAGCACTCCTTTCTCAGGGAGATGTATAGTGGTTAAAAGTATGGGCTTTGAAGTTAAATGGAGCAAGCCTCAAATTTCAATTCTTTATACTAACTGAGATCTTGGGAAAGTTATTTAAATTTGAAAACCCGGTTCCTCACTTATTTAAAAGAGTTGGGATGAATGAAAGGACTAATATATATTAATCATCTACACTAATAAAAGAGAAACATGCAAATTAACCATCACTTCAGTACACCCACCAGCCAATCAGGAGGGAATATGCAAATTAGAATGACAAAGATGGCAGCCGCCCACCTGCTCCAGGATCGGAGTAGCCGGGCAGGGCAGGACGCCTGCTATGAGAGGGAGGACAGGGGGCGAAGGTATCTATAGGAGCAGCACTCTGGCCACAGCAAAGATGAAGACTGCAAACTTCAGAGTCTGCAGCGAAGAGGAAGATGGCAGACTCCAACTGGAGTCTGCAGCAAAGATGGCAGATTCTGGCTGGAGTCTGCAGCAAAGAAGAAGGCAGCAGACTCTGGCTGGAGTAAAGATGAAGAAGGCAGATTCTGGCTGGAGTCTGCAGCAAAGGTGGCCAGGGTCCTGGGTGCTGGAGGAAAACTGGTGTTGGAAGCCAAGGGAAGGAAGGTCTATTGCACAAAACTCTTCTTACAATGGGCCTCTAGTATATTTATAAAAGCCTAAGCAACTGACTGACCAACTGACTGACCAAATGACTGGTCTCTATGATGCACACTGACCACCAGGGGACAAGATCAGGCTCCCTTCTGTCTGGATTGGGCCTGTAGGGATTGGGCCAAAACCACCATCTAATGTCCCCCAAAAGGATCCCGGATTACAAGAAGGTGCAGGCCAGGCTGAGGGACCCCATTGGTGCATGAATATGTGCACCTGGCCTCTAGTTGCATATATTAGCACAGTCCTGGACCTCACCTCACCTCACCTCTCCTCTCCTCTCCTCTCCTCTCCTCTCCTCTCCTCTCCTCTCCTCTCCTCTCCTCTCCTCTCCTCTCCTCTCCTCTCCTCTCCTCTCCTCTCCTCTCCTCTCCTCTCCTCTCCTCTCCTCTCCTCTCCTCTCCTCTCCTCTCTTCTCCTCTCCTCTCCTCTCCCTCTCTCTCTCCTCCTCCTCCTCTCCCTCCTTCTCCTCCTCCTCCCCTTCTCCTCCTCCCCTCCTCCTTCTCCTTCTCCTCCCCTCCTCCTCCTCCTTCTCTTCCTCTTCCTCCTCCTCCTCCTGCTCCTCCTCCTCCTCCTCCTCCTTCTTCTTCTTATCTCTCTCTCTCTCTCTCTCTCTCTCTCTCTCTCTCTCTCTCTCTCTCTCTCTCTCGGCAAATGAGAATTTAAAGGGCAAGCTTTGAAACTCTTCTTTCCTCTTGCTCTTACAGTGCAAGGGACCGGCTCGCTGGGAGAAGTGGAAACTTCCAATTGGAGAAGCTCCCCTCAGTCGTACCCGGGGCTGGCTTCTGAACTGGCTTGCTGGCTTCCTAACCCTAATCTCCTCCCCGCTCTTTCCCCTGGCTCTCTTTAGACCGACTAGAGTGAAATAGTCATGTCTGATTTTCATTCCAATGCCCAGTATGGTGCCTGCCATCTATCAAGATCTCAATACATGTGGGTTGAATGATAAATGACTGAATCCCTATCAGTTATGCAAAGCCACTTAATCCAAGCGCAAAAGTCATGGTGGAACTTGCTTGTGTCAAGGCCAGGGTGAGCAGCAACAGACACTTAGCTACTGCCTCACCTAAATCTAAGGACGCCGTGTCCGGGCCCCGAAGAGGCTGCTGGCCTCTCTGTTCGGCCTCCGCCCCAATGAGATCGGTGCCATCAGCCTTCTTCTTGAGGGATCCGGTTTTCGACGAGGCCTCCAGCTTCTTGGCTTTGGTCTGGGTTTGCGCGACGGGTTCACTCAGGTCAAGGAGGTCCAAGCCTGTAGTCAACACTGTGAGAGATGAGAGAGGTTAAGACGAGCCCATGCAGGGCTCTGAAGTTATTTTTTAAAGAAAGGAGGCTTCCGCTGTGTGCAGAAGGAATTTGTGTTTGTAGTGTAGATTAGAAGCACCAAATTGAGTTAGCTCACTACTGATTTATAAAGACAGTCTGCATTTACATGGGCACGTTTGCTGCCTGCTCTTTTTATTTTGCATGGTATAAATCCGCAACGTGGGGTTTAGATCAGCCCTCACCGGCGATGAAGGTTTGAATGGAAATTAAAGTGATGAAATTGAATCTGAGTGCAGGTACCATTTGCTTGGCTTTGCTTGATTGATAGAGGTTTATTTTAGAGTGCAGTTTTTTTCACCCCCCCCAGCGAAGAGTCAATCTATCCTTTTTCAGAGAGATGCTTATGCAACAGCTAGGAGGATGACTTGGTCAAGTTTCTGAATGTCTTTGTCTTAGCTGCAAACGACTAAAGCAAACGCTACATAAAAGAATGCTGCTAATTATCTTTTATTTGATTAAGCAATTCAATCAGAAAATGGCTTGCTGTTTGGGCTCATCTGGAGAGGTGTTTTATAATCCATAAGTTGATGAATAGGTACACATGTTAATGACTTTGCTGCTTAATATGCAAATTTAAGTTTCAATGTAACAAATCATAAAACGGGTAGACTTTAACTTCCTGGCAAGTTGATTACATTGTATTAAACACCGTAACATAGGCAGCAATAATAATTTGTTCAAGCGCAAACGAGGCAAATGAGAATTTAAAAGGCGAGCTTTGAAACTCTTCTTTCCTCTTGCTCTTACAGTGCAAGGGACCAGCTCGCTGGGAGCAGTGGAAACTTCCAGTTGGAGAAGCTCCCCTCAGCCGTGCCTGAGGCTGGCTTCTGAACTGGCTTTCTGGCTTCCTGGCCCGGGACCTCCTCACCCAGCTTCCTTAGAAACGCCATCAAAGGGACAGTAACGCTCCCGGAGTTAGCCCTTTCTGGCATCCTCTACAAGGACTGCAACCCTCCTCTTTGGTCTCCCAGCTTTTCCTTTTGGTAGGAAATGGATTTTTGTTGATGTCTCAGCTCTCCTCCATCTGCTTTCCCCCTGCACTCCAGGCAGGTTCAGGGCTCAAATGGGCTCACAATTCAATCAGGATTTCTTTTATTAAAAAAAAATTTTTTTTTATTGCTTTTAGAGAGGAAAGAAGAGGGGGAAAGAGATAGAAACATCAATGATGAGAAAGAACCATCGACTGGCTGCTTGCTACATGCCCCACACTGGGGATCAAGCCTACAACCCAGGCTTGTGCCCTGACCAGGAATCAAACCGTGACCTCCTGGCTCTTAGGTCAACACTCAACCACTGAGCCACGCCAGCTGGGCAGGATTTCTATAGTGCGGCACTGTCCTCGTGAGTTATGCGTCCCTATGGGATCCTTAAGACAGTGTGCCAAGCTTTATTCTCCATGATTTTGTCTTCTGATTTCAATGACAAATCACAGTGGTTGCATGTTGATGGTGAAGTAGAAGGACTTGCCTGTATCACTGCTTAGTTGTGTGGTTTGGAGTAAGTTTCTTGACCTTAGTTGTGGGCACATTCCCAGTGGGAGGTATGTAGGAGGCAGCTGATCGATGTTTCTCTCTCATCAATGTTTCTAGCTCTCTAACCCTCTCCCTTTTTCTCTGTAAAAAATAAAAATAATAAAACATATTTAAAAAATTGTCTTTAAGGGATGATACAGAGATTTAATTTTTATTAATTTGTAAATAGATTGTGTGAAACAGAAGACATACTATAGGCACTGGATCAATGTTATTGCCATTGTTTGGTGGCTAATGTGTGATGCTTTTCTTTCCTTTTTCTTTTTCTTGATCTCCTCCTAGTTTCCCTGATCCTTTCTATTTCAGGCAGGAACCAGCTCCAGACACTGACAGAAAGAGGAAAAACCACTGGGAATAAAGTGGAGGATGAGACAGAGATAATGGTTCTACAGAAGATGCTATGAGCTCCATTTATCATAAAATGGTCTGAAAGTGTCAGCTTATCTCATCTGAGTGTTCTGATGAGATGGGAGCCACTTTCCAATGCAAAGGCGGGCTGGGAGCTGAGGAGTGTTTCGTGGCTAGCAGGGACCTGAGCATGGGGAGAGAAGTGGCTTTCAGAGTGGAGTGGCCTGATTTGATGGCTAAGATTTAAGTGTGGCACGCAGCCCAGATAGGAGAGGACGCCACACATGTCTTATCCTTTGAATGTTTAATCAAAAATTTCCAGGCCACTGGTGTGTCAGCAGGGATTCTAGCCCAGTGGTCTGCAAACTCATTAGTCACAGAGCCAAATATCAACAGTACAACCATTGAAATTTCTTTTGAGGGAGCCAAATTTTTTAAACTTAAACTATATAGGTAGGGACATTGTTATTAACTTAATTAGGGTACTCCTAAGCTGGCCTTTGCTAAAAACTCAAGGGGCCAAAGAGCTGCAGTTTGCCAATCACTGTCCTAGACACATGAGTTCCTTCTAATAGGAGGAAAAGAAGTGGAAAACAGTCTCTGGAACACCATATATGTCTTCCTATTGATTGTAAAAACAATTAGGAATCGGTCACTTGCTCCCACATTTCTTTTAGAAGCAATTTATATAGGACTCATCTACTTGTATATATAGGTAGTACGCTTGCTACGAATAGTAACAGGTGAATATTAATTTAGTTCCATAGCTGCTTCTCACCATTCAGAATAAATGAATTATTAAAATAGTGAATTTCGAATACAAGCTTGGCTCAGTAACATTCTTTCCCTCTCCAAACTGTCCTCAGCACTTTCTGTGTTTGTTCTGAGCTCGCTCTCTCTCTCTCTCTCTCTCTCTCTCTCTCTCTCTCTCTCTCTCTCTCTCTTTCTCCTTCTCTTCTCTCTCCTTCTCTCTCTCTCTCTTGCTTTGTTCTTCTCCCAGCAAATGGGAAACAAATAAGAGGCCTTACTTGCTGCCCAGTCCATGAAGGCAGTGGCCTGAGTTGTATAGAAAACGTTGAAGCTGAGAGAATCTCTGGAACCACAATTTCAAAAGCATAGAAGGATGGGTGCAGCTTTTCATGTTTTGGAGAAAGATAAATCCACATTTTAGGGTGCATGCATGTGGGCTGCGAAGACTACCTTGGCACAGAAGTGGGTGACTACTCTGCTGATTTTCTTAGCCCAATTTAAAAGATTCTCTTAGGTGTATGAAGGTCGGGGTTTCAGAATCTGTGTGTTTCAGTTAAGATAACCAGCTCTTATAGTTGATGTGAAAATGCATGTGTGCAAGATGTGTGTGTGTGTGTGTGTGTGTGTGTGTGTGTGTGTGTGAGAGAGAGAGAGAGAGAGAGAGAGAGAGAGAGAGAGAGAGAGGGAGAGAGGGAGAGAATGTGGCGGGGAAGAGAGAGGGAGAAGAGAGAAAGAGAGAGGTTTGATGATGCTATGCTATTGGCTTTGGAAATGGAGGAAGGGACCACAAACAAAGGAATTCCAAGTACCCTGTAGAAGTTTAGAAGAGTTAATGAAATGAATTCTCCTTTAGAGCCTCCAGGAGGAATGCAGCCCTGCCAACACCTTAATTTTAGGCCTGCTGACTTAGAATCCTAGGGTGATACATTTGTGTTGTTTTAAGCTACTAAATTCGTGGGAATTTGTTACAACAGGAAATGCAAACACCTGATAGTACACTGCCCATAAGAGGGTTCAAACACAGGCCCTGCCACTCCCAAGTGTGTGTCCTTCCCCACTCCTCTTTAGACTTGACTTGAACCTGGAGGCAGTGTGCTAATTCTATTGATGTGGCTTTGATTATTTCCTGTTTAGCTCCCAATTATTTGGCAGATTGGGTAGTCTGAGGCATAATTTAAATAGTAGGCAATTCCAGAAACTTTTGTTTTTATAGCCTAATTTCATTGGATGACATTTCCTGAAGATAGAATACATAAGTATTTGTGCCCATCTATTTCAAGGACACCTGCTTGAGGATCACATCCTGTGGAACTGGAAGACTTCCTCAGGGCATGGCAGATGTTTATGAATACGAGATTACATGGGCCCTGGAAGGTGAGGCTGCTTAAAACAGTGAGAATAAAATAGCACCTCTAATGAAGCTCTGATTGGATACTTGGATGGGACACACAATGCTATTAACACCACTACGGTATAATGAGCCTCGGGCTTTTAGTGAATTTCTCTAAAGAAATACATCTACCTGGAATGGTCAGAGAGGACGAATCACGGGACAACCCTGACGTGCAGACACAGAACATGCTACAGGGAGCCCGTAGGATCGCTGTTCTGTTCTGTAAGATTTATTTAGCAGAGTGGCTTCCAAGAAAAGTCCTTCCAGGAAGGATTTTGTAAGGGATGTGAAATAGATAAATTAGACCCAAATAATTAAAGCAACTTTTGCCTTTTTATTGGAATATGGAATTAATGCTATTTCCCAAATTTCTATGTTCCCTCTAGAGGCATGCCATTTGGATCATGACTACTTGGGCTTCATAATTATCCTATACAACAGTGGTTGTCAACAAATATCCTATACAACAGTTATTATTGCAAGATGTATAGTAATTACTTTCCCTATAATATATAATCACTATCTTAACATATCTATTGTGTAGCTACTTTCAGAACATTTGACATTTTATCTGTGTATAATTTATTTGCCATTTTTAAATCTAGGATATTAGCAATATCTTGGCTTACCTACCACCTATGGATACAGTTTGAGAAGGTCAAAGAATTAGCTACCTACCTAGGTTATAGATCAGTTAAAAATAATTTAGGTTGTTAATAGCAAAGAAAAAAGAAAACAAAAGAAAAACATCCTTATTTAATCAGCTTGAAATTGTCATCATTGGATGACAAGAAGTGTCTAGAAAAACAAGCAGAAAGTAAAGATCACTGAAATACGTAAGGAAAAATTATAATTTAGAAAAATATAATTTACAATTTAGAACATATTAAAAAGATTGATATGTTCTTTTAGGGTTAGTAGAGAAAAAAACCAACTCATTATTTAACTGATGTTTGGAAGAGATGGATATTTCCTATAGTGTTTATTTTGTGTTAATTTATATAAGAACTATATTCCTTAAACATTTAAGTAAATGTCAAGATGGTAGCACACTGACTTTAACTTTTAATTGGAAGAAAATAGTCAGAACAAATGCTTTTCAACATAATAGGAGGTTCTTCAAATTTCAGTTTGATTGACTTGGTACAAACATGAAGCAGGGTTTTTTCCATATTTTACTCCCAGTTTGTTTAACATCCCTTTGAAGTGTAATGTCTAGAATGTCATATACAATGACTGTCCTGATTTCTCAGTGTGATTTCATACTATTCTATGAAATGACAATGTTCCACTTTAAAATGATTATTTCTATTAAAAATTCGGAAAGAAAATGATCACTCTATCTCCTGCCTAAAAACTTTAACTGTAAAATTATTGGAACAAATTAGAATTAGAATTCTTTCCAGGATGCTTGAATGCTAATCTTTTTTTTTTCTGTTTAAAGATGTGAATTATGTTACATATTAAGATGTAAATTATAGTTTTGTAATAAATAAAAAAAGAACTATGTTCCTTAATAATTAAAAACATATAGTGTTTCTGCCCTGAGATACATTTTTAATATTAAAAAGCACACTATCAAACAAGAGTCTTCCTTCAGGATCAAAGCCTGTGTAACCCAGGTGCCCTGAATGCTGAGGCTGAGAAAAGGAAAATCCAGTCTCAAAACATCACTTTTCCCAACCCCCTACTTGGAGGGCATTATGAATTGAGTTGTGTTCTCCCCAAAACTCATCTGTGAAAGTCTTAACCCCCAGTACCAAAAAGGTGACTTCATTTGGAAATAGGGTCACTGGAGATAGAATTAGTTAAGATGTTTCCTGATGGAGTAGGGCCTACCTACTGGTATCCTTATAAAAAGGAGAAAATTTTAGATTTTTTTCTTCCCCAGAAAAAGACACACACAGGAAGAATGTCAGGGGAAGATTGAGGTTATGCTGCCACAAGCCAAGGAGCTACCAGAAACCAGAAGAGAGGCCTAGGAGAGATCCTTCCCAAGCACCTTTAGGGGGAGAAGGGTCCTATTGACCTTGATTTTGCAGTTCTGGGCTCCAGAACTGGGAGACAACATATTTCTGTTGTTTAATCTATGGAGTTTATGATATTTTGCCATGGCAGTCCTAGAAAACTAATAATAGAGGCAATACTGTAGGTATTGGGATTGCAGGAGGTGACGCATCCTTTTGACATTTTCCTCCAATATTTCACAGGTCACTCCATTGTTAGAAAAACCAAGGTGAAAGTAGCTTTTGAGCCAAATAGCATATTGCTCTTTCTGACAGGCTCTTCCTAAGTGACTCAGTTGTAGCATTCTCTGGATTCTTCTGGGCGCAGCTCTACACTTTTGGAGGGGAAGTTCTAGTTTCAGAGCTCAGAAGGATGACTCTGAGCTGATAGCATGTGAATTTACCAAATTTCCTGCCTAAAACACAGCAAACATCATTCCATTTGCTTGATTAATCTAAGTGATAGCTGAGTGCAGAAAATGATTGCTTTGGTGTGACATATGGAAAGTTAATGCATTTGAAAAGAGAAGTGTTGGGTGTCCGGCTTTTTAACTGATAGCTAATAGGAACGGTAATTAATACCTGTGAGAGCTCACTTGGTGTTAAGACTTACATAGATTGCTTCGTTTAGTCTTCCCAAATAACCTAGGAGATCTAGATCTTACCATTATTAGATGGATGAGAAAGCAGACCTAGTTAAGCAACTTGTCCGAGGACACTGAGCTGCTAAGTGGCCGAGCTGAGATTTGAAATTATGAACTTTGACCCCAGAGACTGTAGACAACACTCCCACAAAAGTGTCTCTGTCTTGTGTTAGTTACTTTCGTTGTAATTTTTAGCATCTGTTTAAAAAAAAAAATCACAATTTCCTTCACCTGTGGTTTTGTTCACATAAGCGTACAATGAAAATATAGCAGGCAACAGCCAGCTGAGGACATGATGGGAGATGGAAAGAATTTAACAAGACAGGATGTGATTATCACCTCCCTTCTCCTCAAATTCTCTCCTGCAACCCAACATAACCTCTGTTCTCTGATTCTGAACATCATTTTCTCATTCTTATTTGAACAACATGCCTCTGAATGTGAATGCTGACTAAATGAAATAAATGCTAAAAGCTGCCTCTGATATCGAAGGTGAAAATTAGCTTTTGAGTCAAATCTTTTGTTGTGCCCTCAGGGTGGGCCCTACCTGAGTGACTTAGTATCGGTGAGAATTGGAAAATGCGGAGGGTGCTTGAGGAGGTGGCATTCATACCTGCTGCATTCATACCTCCTACTCTCTCACTGGATGAAACCTGTTAGTGCCTGTAATATCCCAAGCCTCTAGGACATTTTAATTGTCATTTCAATCCACCTATATTTTTATTTTAGTCGACTTTTGTCATACAAAGTATTTCCCCAGCAGAACTTGAAAACCCTTACTCTGAAATAGACACTTTGTTTTAAAGATTTCCTAATGTGATGTGACGTGAGATGAAATGTAAATATGAAAATATATATGGAAAAACCATTCATTGCTAATAGTGGCATGCTAACATTGATTGTGTAATATACAGAGTGGCCAGATTATCATTATCTCTGAACGCATAATAATCTGGCCACTCAGCGTACTTCCCTTGAGTACCTCATTTATTTGATATCAAATCATGCACCTGGTCAGTTTTCCCCTTTGCACTGGCTGATAGAAAGCTCAGGGCAAATAGGTGGTTGATCTCTAGCAAAAGTCAGAATACTTTTGGTACCCATTTGAGATACAAATACACTGAGTGGCCAGATTATTATGCGTTCAGACACCATAATAATCTGGCCAATGTATATACATTGCAGTTTCTTATAGTATAATGAAAAGTGATTCATTGGCTTATGTTGAATAGTAAATGTTCTAAAGTTTTAGTCAGTTGCAAACATTTTTCTCGAGTTAAAATGCACTGTGGAAAGAAAAAAAGTGTATTTTACTACAGTAAAAATTAAATTGACCTGAGGATCAGTTAAAAGTGAAAGAATTACCAGCCGTGTTGGACGTTACTGGCCTTGCTATTGCCTCCGATTTGGTTTCACAGAGAAAGTCATCGATGGAGGGACTCAGGAGGGGTCTGCTTTCTTGCTGTTCATTCACCAGCTGAGAACAAATGAACACAGGTGTCACAGGCCGTGTTAAACTGCAGAATCAGATAAGTTAAAATGCAGCCTTGCAACAAAATGAGAAGAGCAAGCCTACCAAAAAAAATAAAGAAACCAATAAATAATGGGGCAGGGGCAAGAAAGGAAAAAAAAAATACCAAAGGATGGGGAAGGAGCCTTTTAGCACTGTGAACATTTTCGATGCAGCCAACTTCAATTTTTTAAAGCTCAAGCCTTTTTTCCTTCTCCTAGGACAGTTTTAGAATTATTCACTAATTTCAATATGTAGGAAATAGCACCTATTGAATCACTGTCCCTAAGGGACAATCCCACTCTTCCCTTGGGCAATAAGCTCCTACTAAGACCTGCAACGGTGGCTTTTAATTTTGAGCAAACACATTTTGTTCAGGACTAGCCAGTCAGTGTTTTGTGGTGACAGCACACGCTTTTGCGTGTGGGGACAAACACTCCTTTCTCCCTCTTTAAAAGCTCAAGTTACCTACTGGTGCACACCCTTACTTACACTTCCTTGGAATGCTTTAAGCTTTTGTAGTGCATAACAAACATTATTTTGAAAGAGTACAAAATATTGCTATATTAGCTGTCATATTACCTACATATCCAGTGGATATGTTTGTGAAAACATATATGTAAAGCAGATTTCTGTGAATTCAATGATATTTTTCCATAGCATTGTTCTGTAATTTCAGAACTTTTTCAGTTTATTTATTTAAAAAAAACTATTTTTTATTAATTTCAGAGAGGAAGGGAGAGGGTGAGAGAGATAGGAACATCAATGATGAGAGAGAAAATCATTGATTGGCTGCCTCTTGCATGCCCTCGCCTGCCCCTCGGGATTGAGCCTGTAACCCCGTGGATCCTGGGACCCTTCAGTCTGCAGGACAATAATTTACTAAACCAGCAAGGCTCAGTTTGATTTTTAGTAGGTCTCTTTCTATCAGTGGCCACCATCCATTTGCTATCAGTTATTCTGTGCCTCCTGAATTCAGATTTCCTTAAATTCTGTTTCTGTGATTAAGGGAAAAAAATATACTGATGATTCCAAAGTGGTTAATCCTTAAATTAACTGCCATAGTTTTCCACAAGATGTTATATTGGCCTTTCTTAAAATGGGCATAGCCATCTAGTTTTCTATGCATTATATATAAAAAAAGATATGCCTAAGAATCTCTAGATTTTAAAAATACTGATTTGCAAGGCTGTATTTTAAAAGAGATATAAAATAATGAAGTGTCTTGAGTATTACCAAATCAAAATATTTTATGTGACTCCACTCACTTTCACTTTATTATTTCCTTAGTACAGTGTCAATGATATTATAGCTTAGAACTTATGAAAGATGGCAAGAGACCTATGAATAATGGTAAATATGGGAAGAAAAATGCAATACTGTTAATATTGAAATGGAAGAAAATGGAAACATTTAGTGATCATCTGGGGACTGAAAACCAAGAGGCAATTAGGTAGTTTTTTCATGTTTATCCTACAGGGATAAATCTCAAATTTTCACCAGAGTTTAAGATTTTGACGTAGAACTGGTGATTTGACTTTCATATGTAGTAATATGCGGACATTATCAAGGGGTAAGCCTTGAGAATGCCCATTTCCTTTTAGTGTTCAAGGTGCAATGATAGAAATTTCTTCAATTAGTATAAGTTTAGTGTTACATGTATTCAGACTCATAGATTCTTCTAGGAATCAAATTATCTAAGGTCTTAACCTATGATTTGGTCTTAAACATTTTTTTTTTGTGGGGGGGGTGGGTGGGAGAAGGGGGTTGTCCCTTTAATCGATGAGTGAAACTCTGAGAATCTTTGAATTTTTTTCTGAATTTGAACATTCTTGGGTATCACCCATCTTATTTATGTTGAAATATTTTTTGATGTTGAGGGACTATGAACCTTTCATATTTCTGGGATAAAATATATTTGAATTTTTATAAATGCTATGGTCTATTTGAGTTTAGGAGTGATTTATAATATTTTCTGGTATAAAAGTCAATTTTATCATTTGGAAATGTAGTTGAAAGCACTGATACAGAATATAATATACTAGAAAATGAAGACATAGTTAAACATCACTGATTCTAGAAACCCTTCTGCGTCCACAAAATTCACCATGTACTTTTTCTGAAAATGTGATTAGCTTTCTAGGATTTGTATTTCATTTATAGTTTGGTAATGTAAAAGCTTTGTGTATGTAAGAGCTTCCAAAGGACCCATACATTAATATATATTTCGTGGTAGAACTTGCCCTTTTAACCATATGTGCTTAGTGTAATGAACTCATCTAGTGGGATATCACCAGAGTGATGTGATGGTCCTGATTTAGCAACAATGCTTATCTCCAGGTTGTGTCATTCTCATGTCAAATGAGATCTGGATTCTACCATGCTATAAATATTCACCATCAAGTATGGCACCACACTAAACTCACAGAACTTAGTGTAACAGGCTAGCATTAAGTAAGCAATGCATTCTGATGACTTGGTCTCTAGTTCTAGGTCTCAAATCTATTGGCTAAGGTGCAAAAATATAAAGAGTAAATATAATCAATACAACTGCAATTTTAAAAGTTAGGATATATATATATACATATATATATATATATATATGTATATATATATCTCCTATCTAAAAAAAAAAAGAGAGTAATATGCAAATTGACTGTCACTCTAACACACAAGATGGCTGCCCCATGTGGTAAAAAATGGCTGCCCCCATGTGGACACAAGAGGGCTGCCACAAGACGGCCAGTAGGGGAGGGCAGTTAGGAGGGATCAGGCCTGCAAGAAAGGGCAGTTTGGGGTGATTAAGCCTGCAGAGAAGGGCAGTTAGGGGTGACCAGGCTGGCAGAAAAGGGAAGTTGGGGTGACCAGCTTACAGGGAAGGGCAGTTAGGGGGGAGCAATTGGGGGGGATCAGGCCTGCAGGGGAGGGCAGTTAGGGGCAAACAGGCTGGCAGGGGAGCAATTAGGCATCAATCAGGCTGGCAGGGGAGTGGTTAGGGGGTGTTCAGGCTGGCAGACAGAAGCAGTTAGGGGCAATCAGGAAGGCAGACAGGTGAGCAGTTGGGAGCCAGCAGTCCTAGATTGTGAGAGGGATCTCCCAGATTGGAGAGGGTGCAGGCTGGACTGAGGGACACCCTCCCCACCATGCATGAATTTTGTGCACCAGACCTCTAAAATAAATAAATAAATAAATAAATATGCAATGTCCTATGTCTTTGATAACCATTATTTCTCTGAAGAAGTCTGATGATATTGATAGATAACTAAGAATGTAGTTATTCTCTTAGTCATGATTTGAAGATCAATTATTATATGAAGATAAGTATCTTATATAGTAAAGAGGTAATATGCAAATTGGCCATCACATCCTTGCAAAAGATGGCCATCACCATGTGGTCACAAGATGGGCACCACGAGATGGCAGACAGAGGAGGGCAGTTGTGGGTGACCAGGCCAGCAGTGGAGGGGAGCAGTTAGACATTGATCAGGCTGGCAGGGGAGTGGTTAGGGGTGATCAGGCTGGCAGGTAGAAATAGTTAGGGGCAATCAGGCAGACAGGCAGGAGAGCAGTTGGGAGCCAGCAGTCCTGGATTGTGAGATTGTTGTCCGTCTGCTGGTTTAGACCTGATTTCACAGGCAGTTGGACATCCCCTGAGGGGTCCCGGATTGGAGAGGGTGTAGGCTGGGCTGAGGGACACCTCCTTCCAGTGTACAAATTTCATATACCAGGCCTCTAGTAAATTATAGTCCACAAAAGTCCCCATATATTTGTTCTTAACTTTGGATACAATTAAATTCCTTTGTGGCATAAATTACTTATAGTTTGAGGAAGCCAGGTTGTTAGATTTCTATGCTTCTAGTTATAAACACTGAAAAATGACAAAGGAATTCTAGAAAATTAGACCTCTGTCCCCATAAACATTTAAATGGGGCAAAAAAGGAAAAAGCGCAATTCATTGAGAGGCCCACCCTTTTAGGCAAGTCTGCTTTATCAAAGGGAATTGGATTTTTTGGGTGAGTCTCTCTTTTATTTCATACTTCAGACTTATTTTCTGGAGAAAGCACCTCTAGCATTCTCAGAGTTTCTCAACCAAAGAAGAGGTGTTCAGAGAGACTTTAGGGAGCCCAGGACTATGGCATTGGCTTCTCCAGTCTCCTCCTAATCTCCTGCCTCATAAAGCCAATGTCTCTTCTACACTTACTGTCTAGTTTCTGACCACATGTCATACCTGGACTGATAGAGTTGCTATGTCTACCCAGTTCCTATGAACTGAGCTGCTCCTTCGGCTTTCCTCTGTAGACACAGATCAGAGGAAATGAAGTATTTTCTGTGTCAGTGTTTTTAAGCTGAAGCACAGTTTAGCTCTTGGGAAAAGATTGTGTTGGAATGGAAGATAGTGAAAAGGGCTCAGAGGTGAAGATAATAAAGGGCCAGGTTTCAGATAGCATGGGAAGATAATTTGGGAACTGAAAGTTTTTTGGTTTCAATTGAGATGTGGAAGATGGAACTGGAGTTATCAAAACAAAATCTTTTTTTATAAGCGCTGAGGTCAGGGACTCTGGCTTATTCATATTTATGTTCTTCACAACTTTGAACAGAATGTCTTCATATAAGAAGGGCTCAGTAAATGGTTAGCAAAGGGACAGTGACTCTGCAGAAACAGAAGATATAAAAAGATTTTTCCCAAACAGTCCGATTTTGAACTGTGTCTCCAGCCAAAATAAGGATTCCTAAAATAAGGATTTTAGGAATCCTTATTTTAATCATACCGAGTCCCATTTTATTTTTATTTGTATAGGTAAGAATAGCTTTTCACATGGCTTCCCCCTCCACATTTTCAAACAAGTTTATGGTTTTCCTATGGTGACTTGAGACTAAGTAAATCTTTTAGGTCATAAAGGAAAATTGCTAGCTGAACTGAATCCCCCAAATAGTTCCCCTTAGCTTTCTTTCCAAATTGTGTGCTT